CATTTCCTCAGGTTATGACCCTGGGATCTGACAGCATCAATGTGGAGGCTTCATGGATGAATTTTCCCACTCCATCATATTTTAACGATATTTTACGGTTGATTGTACATCTGGTTTCGAGAGGACCCAAACGCTGCATTCTGAGTCTCAAAGTCAGAAACTATACATACAGGCACAGAAAGATGCAGTGAGATTCCTGTCATGAGGAAAATTCCACTAGGATGTTACACATTCAGGTGGTCTTCTATAGAGCTGAGATTCAGGACCGGAAAGAGTCAGTTGGTAAAAAGGAAATAAAGGCAAGTGTGGACGTGAAGAAGAAGAATGAGGGCAGCACTCTGAGCATGAGACAGGGTTGGAAATGAATCTCACAAAGCAAGGAGCAGCGAGACCAGGCGGGATTTGAAAACACTGCTCTGACTAGGTAAATTGTTAGATATTGGTAAGTGTCATGTCTCAGGAGTTGGGCCTTTTTTTTTTTCATCTTGACCAATAGTGAGTAAGAATCACTACTTACCTCCAAATGCAAGGAGAAATTATCCCACTCAAATTGTGGCCAAACAGATGTTATATCTTCTGTGCACTTTTTGTTTGTAGTTCTCTTACTAGTTGTGGGATTGTTTATGTACTCATACATTTAGCAGTCATTTGTAATTTTTCTTTGTGATTAAGCTATTTCCTTTCCTCTATTTCTCTATTTTCATCCTTTTGACTTACAGGAACACTTCATATAATAAGCATGTGATGAGCTTTTAAAGAGTTTCCAATATACTTAACAGCTCATTTTTTTTTCTCCATTAATGTTTTCATGAACATTTTCCTGGCACTGATTTCTTAAGCTCAAAGACTTAATATATTTTATGTTGCATAACACAGCTCAATTTTCCTGTGATCTCACCTTCGTTATCTGCATAAACATACCCCAAAGGAGGGAACATCTTTTCTACATCTAATTGTTGTGACTTATTTTAATGTATTTTGTCATTACTACACCATTACCAGGACAGGTGGACTCATGAGCAAGGATACTGTGGTACTGTGAGTGCAACTGGAGCTTACCAGTATCCAACCCTTCACCAAAGTATGGAAGAGTTCATGCGTTGTCTCCTATGGAGGGAAAACACTAAGCCAGCTGCAGCCTATGGGTTTCCCCACTGCTGCTCTTCTAAATGTCTTTGTGCACAGGGCACATTCTCCCCAATTCATATTTTAATGTGCTAATGCTGCTGATGTAGAGAATCCCACATTACAGCTTTACCAACATAAAAAGACATTGCTTACACTCATCAGGTAGCACAGATGCATTCATTTAATACAGCAGTTGTAATAAATCACCATGAATTAAATGGCATCAATGATAGCAGTTTATGTTTTTACTGTCCAGAAAGTCAGGTCTCCCACTGGGGCACAATTAAGTTTCAGCCGTGTTCTTTATGAAGGCTCTAGGGAATTATCCACTTCATTGCTTTGCAGCTTCTAATGGCTGCCTGCATTCCCTGGCTCTTGGCCTGCTCCTCCACCTGCAAACCCATCCAATCAACAAGTCCACCCTGTCATTCTGTTGTTATTCCTCCTATCACACTGCGCCACTTTCCTCCATATAATAAAGACAAATTTGAGTGTCCATTCAAATAATCCACAATAATCTCTCAGGTTCCTTATTTTTCCCACTTTTGCTAAAACCCCTTTTCCATGGGAAGTACCATATTCACAGGATTCAAACATTAGGGTGTAAACATCACTGTGTGTTTTGAGTACCATTCTGGTTACCCAAAAGCACAATTCCCTCAAGTAATATACTACATTTGGTTGTGGTTTCATACCACACAAAGTGAAGAGACTTGATAAAGGAAATACCTATGGCTTTATGTGATTTTTTTTTAGTTATTTCTGAAGCTATTTAGAGGGGGTTACAGGTTTGGGGGATTACTTTGTGAGACTGACTAGTGACAATAATTAATATGTGAACACTTGTTTTTCTTGAAAGATTTAATTCCATTTAGAAAATGTTTTTTGTTTTGGGGTTTTTTTTGGTACCAGGAATCAACTCAGGGCCTCATGCTTTCCAGGCAGGTGCTGTGCCACTGAGCTACATCCCCAGCCCTAAAAAACATTTTTAACATTTTCTTACCCAATAGCTAAAGAATTTTAGATATATATTTTAGTGCTAGTGGATTAACTTTAGTATATTATTAACACCCCAGTTTTATATCTTTTGCATTTATTATATAATTTTTATTCAATGCCCTCATTTGAATTTTTCTTCAAGATTACTACTAAGGAAATCAGGCAGGTTTTTGTTTTGGTACTGGGAATTGAACTCACAACCTTTTGCTTGCCAGGCAGGCCCTGGCCCACTACTAAGGAAATCAAAATGAATCTTTTTAAAATTAGAGTTATTGCCTGAAAATATTATTTTTACTAAAATGAAGACAGAGAAGCCAGTACTTTGGCAATATTTTATGGATATGTTCTTATTTTATGGATATGTGACAGAACAAAGGATTAAAGATACAAATATTCTGCAAAGGTGGAAGAAGGGTTCTTTAAAAAGCAACTTTATCCACCTAGATGAAAAATTACTATGTGTAAACTTTCTACAACCGGTATCCTGCTATCTCTTCTTGCAATTATATGGGTCTGAGTGTGGATTTCTCACATTTTTAGTGGCCTGTCATGATCAAACCTTTCTTTAGCATCTCTCTTTTTGAAATATACTTGTATCCCACATAGTATAACTCAGAAAACTTGCCTATGCTCCATTACTATTATCTCTCAGGTTTCTTATCCTTTGTATTGGAAACAAGGATAAAGAAAATTGTATTTGGCTAATTATACCCACTCTTTGCACACATACACTAAGAGTATTAGTTGATTTTTTGTTACTACAAATAAATAATTTTAAATGGGCACTTGGAGAGACAAGAGGTATATTCAGTGTTATGGTTTGTGTCTGGGCATCCCGTCAAATCCTCATGCAGTCGTGGGGCAGGCTTCTAGAGTTTATGATTGATTCATGGTCCAATGCTAGGATTATGGATATGAGTGCTACACCTACTGTGGGGCGGGTAGTTTGCATACAATGTAAGGGAAGGAAAGAGACTGCTTGCCGCTGCTCCTCCCTTTTGCTCTTGGTGCTTTTGCTATTTTTCCACCACCATGAACTGTTACCCTCTGCCATGTGCCACTCTGCCTTGGAGCCAGCTGAGTATGGACTGAAACCTCCACAAACACTGAGCTAAATAAACCTTTCCTTCCTTAATTTGGGGCATCATGTATTTTGTCTCAGCAATGACAGAAAAGTAACCAAGACATTCAGCTAATAATTTTAAAATCTGAAAGTCAATTTTCATTGTTCAGTTTCTGTTGAGAACTATCTGTAAATTCCACTTCTCCTTTTATCCATGTTCAATTATTTCTGTCTCTGTAGCATAAAGTCCAAGATTCTTAAGTGATACACATATCTGAACTCTCATACATTCATTCTCCGAAAAGTTGCAAAGGTTTTGCCTTCCTCGGTGCACAGGACAAAGTGAGACCAGCCATTGCTTGGTTTATCTTCCTACCTTAATATTCCTGGTTGTACCAGTTCATCAATGCCTCATCTCCATCTCCTCAATGGCAACTGTCTAACACACCCGTATTTATTCATCAGGTACTGATTAGAATTCTCTTATCAGAGGAATGGTTCTTTTCCCCTTAGCTGCAAAAGCTAATTTGGAGAGACTGAAAATGAACATCTATTCTCATATGGTATCCCACACTGTTTCAGAACTCAATAGCAGTCAAGTAGTCACCTGTGTAGTAGATTCTCAAAGCTAGAATCTAATATTACTAAGAAAACTTTTTAATTATAAAGGAAAAAACAACTTTTACCTGACATTTAAAAATGAGAGGCTGGATTTTGTCAATGACAGACCAGTTGGAGAAATTGAATATAATTTTAATGGTGTGAACCTTTCTGTAAACATGGGGATTCACAGAAATGATGTGAAAACACAATGGAATGAATAGACATGGAACTTATATAATCTTTAAACAAAGGGGAAGAAACCATGGGAAATGCCTGTAGGTAAGATCTGAAAAACTATGTGATTTGACTTCAAGACTCATATGCTTTATTAACAACGGTTGATGAGTGACCATATGTAAATAAGAGCCTAGGATTCCAGGAATATTGACAAAATTGAGGAAGTGAAGCTGTTGGATTGATTACAGTTGGTTATTTGCTCAGTTTCAATATAAATTAAATACTTGGTTGTTCATGATTAACATTTAGCCAAAGTTTGATTGGATGAAATTCTGATTTAGTCATAAAAATATACTCATAAGTAAGGCTGAATGCTAAGTTTATACTTCATTATGCCAAGACTCTTTGTAAGAGATCACTTCTGGGCAAATGAAGTTCAGTTCCAGAAAACAATATTATTCCTCAGAAAATAGAAATTAACTCAGTGAAACATATCAAGTGGTCCAGAAACAATTAATTGTATTAAAGGGCAACATTTCCATTTGATGAAAAATTAGGGATGAATTCATAAATTCTTTTTTTAATTCATAAACTCTTAAGAAGCATTTCATAACCATAGCTTAATAAAGGAATGGTACAGCGTTGGGTATTTTAAAGTAAAATAAGTAAGAAGTCAAGAGGAAAACAAATAAAGGATTATACAAAAAAAGAAAGATTACACCAAAATTAAGCAAAAGCAAAATTATTTGTAATTTCAATGCAGAACATAAATAATATTCAATTTTGACAAGTTGCTGGGTGTATGTGGTTCTTACTATAATATTATAGAGAACAGAGCAAGAGTCACTTGTCCATTTAAAAATTCTCCACAGTGAATGTAATCTTTATGTACTGAAAACATGTACTAATAAATTTTTTTAAAAGACCTTAGACATAAAAACTAAAAAAGCTCCATATTACACCTAAAGTTTTTAGAAAAGTGTTGAATTGTAATTAAGCCTTCTAAGCTAGGAAATTCATGAGTTAAAATTTAAGAAATATTATTGTTGCTATGCCTTGTTTTATCCCTGAAACCTTGAAGAGAGTTCCTATCTGGTCTTTAAAAAATGACATAGCACTTGGGAGCAAAGATACAGCCTAAAAGTCCAGCGCTGGATGCTAAGATGGAGAAGATCTCCACAGCTACCATGACCTATCCTTTGGTACTGTGGTACACGGGGAGGAAGGTGACCCAGACACTGCAGAACACCAGCATGCTGAAGGTCAGGAACTTGGCTTCATTGAATGTGTCAGGCAGGTTCCTGGCCAGGAAAGCCACCGTGAAACTGGCCATGGCCAGAGAGCATAGGTATCCTAGTACGGAGTAGAAAGCCGTGACTGATCCTTTGTTACATACAATGATGATGTGGCCATATTCAGAGGATGCATCCATGCTGATGAAGAGAGGAGAAGTACCCAGCCAGATTCCACAGAGAATCAGTTGCAGCACTGTGCAGATGGGAATGACGAGGTTAGGTGCCCCTGATACCAGCAACTGCCTAATTCTTCTTCCGGGAGTAGTGACCTTGAAGGCCAGAACCACAGTTATTGTTTTAGCCAAAACAGTGGAAACAGCCACAGTGAACACAACTGCAAATGTGGTCTGCTGGAGGACGCAGGTAACCAAGCTGGGACGGCCAATGAAGAGCAAGGAGCAGAGAAAACAGAAGGTGAGGGAGATGAGCAGGATGTAGCTGAGAGCCCGGTTATTGGCTTTGACTACTGGAGTGTTTTGGTGCTTCACAAAGATGCCAAGAACAAACGAAGTGAGGGCAGAAAAGCAAACAGCTATGCATGCGAGTCATCCCCAAGGAGTCTTCGTAGGCCAGGAAGGTCACAGCTTTCTGAAGGCAGAAGTTTCGCTCTGTGTTAGCATACTGATGGTCTGGACATTTCACACAGTGATCCATATCTAGTGAGCAATACAGGCTCCCATTAGCTCAAGTTGAGTATTGCCTTTTTCTACAGCCCCCTTCTCTACACAAGCTTTTTCTTTTTTGCCTTTTCGAGGCAGGGTCTCGCTATGCAGTTCAGGCTGGGCTTGAGCTCACTTTGTAGCCCAGGCTGGTCTCAAACACACAACAGATCCTGCTGCCTCAGCCTCCCAAGTGCTGGGATTACAGGCGCGTGCCACCACACCCAGCTTACACCAGCTTTTTATTTTTTTTTTTTATTTTAAAGATAAAAGGAGGGAAACATTAACAGACATACAACATTTTACAACATATCACAAGCACAATACAGACAATACAGAGTTACAAACAAAGTGGTAGGGAATTAACAATGGTGGTTGTATTACATATTGATATCTTCAAAGTGGCTCTCATGAAAACAGATATAGACATGCAATACTGGTCAACCAAAGACTCATTGACAGTTTCTTTCAGCATACAAATAGAAGACAGAAGAACAACCATGTTATCTATCCTGTATATACATACATACAGAATTTCTCCTTCTTTCCCTTCTCTTTTCCCACATCCCAGAAGCCCTTTACTCTTCAGCGGTTTCCTATCATTTCACAGTGTCTATCATACCTCCGAGTTTAAATTAACTCTTTCAAGTTTTACACTAGTGACACAATGCAGTGCTTGCACATGTATGTTTGATTTATTTCACTTATGAGTATGGTCTCTAGTTGTGACCATTTAAATATAAAGGCCTCGAGTTTATCTTTCTTTACAGCTGAGTAATATTCCATTATATAAAAGTACCATAATTTTCTTATCCAATCCTCGGTGGATGGACATTTGGGTTGCTTCCACATTTTAGCAATTACAAATTGTGCTGCTATGAACATAGGTGCACATATATCACTGTGATATGATGTTTTTAGATCTTCTGGGAAAATACCCAGCAGGGGGATAGCTTACACCAGCTTTTTATACTACTTCACCTAAATTTTTCTTTGCTTCTTTATTCACCTCAAAATCCAGGCTCTATAAAGAATGAAACACATCCATCCTGCCTGTGTCAGCATTCAGTCATCGCGATCAAACACCCAAGAAGAACAATTTAAAGGAGGAAAAACTTATTTTCTGTCATGATTTAGGAGGTTTCAGTCCATGAGTGCCTCCCTCCAAGTCAGAAAGTTCACGGTGGAATAGCATTTTGGTAGAGCTCTACTGAACCCTCGGCAGCCAAAAAACTGAAAGTAAAAAACCTGGCAAAGGCAAGCCCTCAAGGATGCTCTTTACTCAATTAGCAGTCATGTAAGAAGCCTATTCAGTGAAAGAACTCAGCAATGGACCAATGAACTTGATGAAATTAAGGCCCCATGATTCAACCCCTCTCTCTGCATCCCTGAGAACTCTCCTGCCCTGGGGAATCAAGACTTCAATGCATGATTGTTTTTGAGGGATAATTTATGTTCAAAACCTAAAGCTGCCATATGCTCTCTGGCAGCAGAGACAAAGCTATTGTTTCTTCTCCCGGTTGAATCACACATTTTTCTATAAAGAATGGCATTATAATTTCTCTTTTTGCTAAACTTGTTTATTTAAGATGTTGACTTGATTTGGCCATGATGTTACCTTTTACAAGATACATCTTTTTTTAATTTTAAAGAAAAATAAAACAAGAAAAATGATACAGAAGGAAAGTGAATATATTGAGGAGATTAAGGGCAATGGACTTTTACTGTAATGGATCTTTACATTTTAGACATTCATAATATTTTTCAATCACACCTTATATGTGGATGCTGTGGTGGATCGACACCTGGTGATCAACTTGTAACCCCCAGCAGAACTGAACCAGCGTGGTGCTGGGTGTGGGAGGCCCACCTGGGGATTGTCGCTGGCTGCGTAAGAGGCAGAACTGGAGAAGTGGAGAGGCCATTGGGAGTTGGTAGAAGCTGTTGGGTGCTTTTAGAAGCTGTAAGGAGCTGTTGGTTGTCTTGGAGGAGCTCGTCACTCTGGCTGTCCTGATGAACTTGGCTGTTCTCATTGCCCGAGGAGCTCAGAATCTTGTTGTTGCTGAGAATGGCTTTGGTTCACTATGGGGGAGCTCTGGTCCTCACTTTGAGCATCGCTTCCTGGCTCCGGAGGGGAAGATGGTGCACTGCTCAGTCTCGTGGAGAAGCTTGTCATGTTGGCTTCCCTGATGGGAACTCAGCTGCCCTCATCATTGGATGAGCTCGGGACCTCACTGATGCTGAGGATGGCTGTGGTACTTTTCGAGGAAACTCTGGTTCTTACTTTGAGGGTCACTTCCTGGCTCCAGTGCAGATCCCTCAGCCTGCTGGCACAGTTCCTTCCATCAAGGACCGGGGAAGCCCAGGTATTTTTGCAAGAGGAACAGAGCATGCCAGCAGCTGTTGCAGAACAACATTGCTTTTAGGGGGAAGAATCCCCTGGGCGGGGTTAGACTGGAAGGAGCAAGAATTCCTGCAAGTTCTTTCTTACAGAATCTAGCACCTCGCTCACACAGGCTATGCAGGTCTAGTCTGTCCCTAACCTGGCATCTGCTCAGTGAGCTGATTCAGAGAAGGAGTCCATCTGATCACTCTTGCATGCCTCTGTCTGGTAATCTGAGCAGCTGCTTTGAAGATAACAATATGTAACACAACAACCATAGTTCATTTCCTGTCATTTTTTTTGAATTCTGTATCATTTCTATTGTTTTTGTGTTGTTTTGTTTTTGTTTTTGTGATTTAGTTTTTGTTCTTTTCTCTTTAAAATAAATAAATAAAAATAGAGAAGGAGTTTGGGGAATTTTCCAGCAAATTCTCATGCGGGCCTAATCTGAAGCCCTCTTGTGAAGGGTTCTATTTTCTAAGCTTGTACTTCTCCGAGATTCATAAACCAACTTATGTTAATATTTTTGGAGTACTGTGGCCATTCTTTTCACTGCCTCTGAGGGAGCCAGCTTGGCCTCTTGTCGTTTGGGAAACGTCTCTGACGCACATCCTTGTGAGTGCTGCTCTGTGGGAAAAGCAGGCTGTGGAGGTGAGCAAAGGGTGCTTCCCTTTAAAATCAAGAGTTTGGGAAATCTCACCTGTGAGTCTGTGGCAGCAGACACTACATGTAATTTTACAATTTCACCATGACAGCATTTGTTTTGATGGAATGGAGACTATCACAGAGTTGGGGGATTTACCCATAAAGCATAAAATTACCTGTCCTGTTAGAAATCTCATTATCTGGGCAGGGTATACAATCAAAACAGCACGCAGCCATTCCTTCTTGAGGCGTTTTCCTAAAGCCAGGACCACAACTTTCGCTGCACACAGAGTGGGGAATCTGAGGAAAAGCAGATACGTGTTGATAACTGCTCCCACTTTTCCCCAAATACCAATAAGCCCCGTGCTTCAGAGAGTTGAATTGGTAACAAACAAAATTTCTATTTCTATACATCCAATTAGTTTGTTGGATGTGGACATAGCTTTGATATGGAATATCCCCCCATAGTCTGTGTGTTTAAGGCTGGGTCCCCAGAGGGACCAAGGGGCGTTCGTGGTCCCTATGAACCTCCTGGGAAATATCAGAAATTATAAGATGTGGGACTTGGTCAGAGGAAGTTAGGCAATTTTAATGCAGACCATTGAAGCGAATCTTGGAAAGCAGGTTTCATGCTTTCCCTCCCTCTTCTCTGGGTGCCAGGAGTTTGTTGGCTTCCTCTGCCACACATTCCAATCATCGTGCCCAACCACAGACATGGACTGTAACTTCTAAATGTAACTTCTAGACTGTAACTTCTAAATTCTGAGCCTCCTCATACATTGTTATTGCAAGTATTTTGTCGAACAAAGAGGTGACTCATGTACAGCATGTTTATACATTATGACCTAATATGTGTTAACACTTAGAAACATATTGGTGGGGCTGGGGATTTAGCTCAGTGGCACAGCGCCTGCCTGGCAAGCACAAAGGTTGTGAATTCAATTCCTGGTACCGGAAGAAAACACACACACAAAACAAACAAACAAACAAAATAGAAACATATTGGTAAATAAGCATGTGCCTTTCCCATTCACCAGAAACAGTTCATAGGGGAATCCTCAAATTGGTAGTAGTTAAAAGTATACTGGTGACACATGAATAATGAATGAAGAGACATAAAATCCAAAATAAATTTTTGTTATTTACATGCAGTTCAAAGCATTGTGATTAGATCCAACCTACCTGTCTAATTCCTATACCCCACTCTATCATGTCCTCAGATAAAGACAATTGTTGACTACATGGAACATATGGGGAAAATGTTCCTACTTTCACCTTAAGTCCAAGGCCTTCTGGAAAATTCCAGTAGTTCAAAATGTCATACTCTACATTCAGTTTCTTTCTCTCATCCAAACTCACTTGTTCTCCAGCAGGATTTTTGAATTGAATATTCCTCAAAATGGGGTGCAACTAAAAGAGATTCATGAAAAAAGTCATGACACAATTCCCGGTGTTAAGACAGACAACTTGAAATGGGGGGAGGAAGCCCACATCATCTTTAATTTTTGCTTTAATGTAGGGGACGGCAACACTTAGCATATCATTTGAAGATAGAATAATTCTAGTCTTAGTGCAAGCCTCAAAATGTGTCTTGAGAAACATCCCAGAGGGGTTGTAAAGAGTTAACTTTGCAGTCCTGACTTAGCCTTGGAATGCTTCTCCAAAGGCAAAGAACATCAGGGCCTAGATAACCACCTATGGCCCTGCCTGGGTTGTTTCATCCCTTCCCTGGCCCTAGATAAACATTGTAACCATAAAGGAAATGTATGGTTATCTAAAGGGGGACATATAGAACAGAGTACAGAAAGTATATATCATTGTGGTTGGGCTCATGACTGGAGCCTGACCCGGTCACGTGGCACAAGGAAAACAGCTTGTGGCCAGGGCTACAACATTCCAATCTGTTATCATGGAAACCAAAAGTATATATAAGGTGGGAACAAAGGCAGGCCCGCTCCCTCTTCACTGACTTGCAAGTCAGGGATGAAGGGTGGCTAGCCTCAAATTAATAAAGCTCTGTTTGTTCTCTTTTTTTTTTTAATTTTAAAAATAAAAGGAGGAAATCATTAACAGACAGACAACCTTTTACAAAATAGCAAAAGAACAGTACAGACAATACAGAGTTACAAACAAAGTGGTAAGAAATTAACAATGCTTGTTGTATTACATATTGATATCTTCAAAGTGGTTTCTCATGAAAACGGATAGAGACATGCAATATTGATCAATCAAGGACTCATTGACAGATTCTTTCAAAGTTGTTTGTTCTCAATAGAGTCCTTCAGTTTCTTGTGGAATACAACCCGATTTTTGCCGTTAGTTTTTTTTTTTTTTTGGTACCAGGACTCGAACTCAAGACGTTGCACTTGCCAATTTGCCATTCATTACATTATAACACAACTTTAGCATGAGCATAAGCAAAATGGAACAAGTGAAATGTTGTGGAGAACTAAAGTATCATAATGTTTGTAAAATCTCATTTTGTATCAAGGAAAGCATCCAAAGAGCATGTCTAAGTAATAACTGGATGTAGGAATCAATTTCAAATGCTCATTAAAATTTAGCCACATCTATATAGTTTCTGAAGAGACCTAGCTTATCAGTCTGCAAAATGAGGCTATAAGTATATAAAGTTGAATTAAGTGAGATTCTTTGCATCAAGAATTCATTGAATTACCAAGAATCATTTATTCACTGAGGGAACAAGTTTACCTCTTCATGTTATTTAAGAAAATCAGTAGGAAAGAAGACCCCAAAAACTCCATCCAAAGACTCCTACAATTAATAAGCAAATTCAGTAATATATCTGGATATAAATTCAACACTCAAAAATCAATAGCATTCCTGTACACACACAACTCATTGACAGAGAAATTAGGGAAACCACACCCTTCAAAATAGCATCAAAAAAATGAAATATTTAGGAATCAATCTAACAAAAGAAGTAAAAGATCTATACAGTGAAAATTACACTACTGTGAAAAAAGAGATCAAAGAGGATTTCAAAATATGGAAAGGGTTGCTAGGCGCAGGGAGGTCCAGGGGTCAGGCGGGGCGAGCAGGGCCTCGGAGCCAGGCGAACAGGCTGCCCCAGCCCCCCACACCTTGCGCCCAGACAGCGAGTTCTCCGGAGCAGCAGGGCTCCAGGGTCCGAGTTTGCGCTGGACCCATACCACCATGATTCCCACCTGAAACGCACGCACAGAGCCAGGTACTTCCCATCTAATCCCTGAGGGCAGAACGGGTGAACAAAGACCCCGCGGACATTACACACTGAGTTGCTGTGGCGGCAGAGAGGAGATCCAGACTGAACAGCCCAGGGACTTCTCCAGCTGGGGGCGGGGCCAGCAGGCTCTCTGAGCCAGGCAAGCAGACTCACTGAGCCCCACGCACCCTGTACCAAGACAGCAAGTACTCCAAGAGCTGCAGTGCCAGCGGATTCGAGTCTGTGCTTTGCCTT